GATGAGTACAGAGGATGCTTAATACTCCACCTCCAACCTGTAATTAAAAATAAGGCAGAAAAACTGGACAATGTCAAGATTTATAAAATCTACTTCAGCCTTTTTAAAGGGTTTAGCACATTAACTATAACCATTTAAAAATTCACTCAGAAAAACTGATAACAATGCTTGACAGCACTGAATAGTCAGTTTAGTCACCATGAGGAATTGTTCTGCATGTTTTTTACAGGTATTACCTGGAAAGACAGTTTTTGTCCCTCACCTTAGACTGCTGGCAAAGAAAATCTGAACACTGAACAGCAGACTGACAGAAAGCTAGGCTTCAAGAATTTTGCTGCAAGTATGGCAAGTCAGCCCTACAAGCTTTTACCAGCAGTGGTATTTCCACCTCTATTAATATAAAGTATGTTTAAATACATCATTATTTGAAAGATAAATTACCTTTTAATTACTATATAAAGCCAACTTAAGTAATTTAAAGTTTTTGCACAGGTTTTTTAGTACTTGGGACAGCAGAAGACTGAGAAGATTCTGCAAAGAAACCCTGTAACAGGATAAAACCAAAAACCAATAGACATATGTAACCTGAAAAGAGCAATCATGTATGATGAGCAGAACTGTCTGCAAGTTTTACAAAACCAGGGGCTAGAAGCCATGCAACAACTGCATCAAACTACAGCCAGTTGAGAGCACAGAGAAACTCTTCCTCATCTAGATGTTTCCAAGGCAACAGCTGACTAACTGGAGAATAAGATAAACTTACAACTGCCCATTGGGTAAAACTCAACAATCTGCACATATGCAACAAAGTCAACCTTCACATGTGATGGAGAACCATAAAATCACGGCCAAAACATTCACCATATACCATGCAACTTTGGAGAGTTGTTTCCAAAGGCAACCCAAATATGAGGTAAAAACTAGTCAACCCAGGATTGCTGCTATTTAAGAAGGTCAGAAAAAACATTCACTTCCATGACCATTTGGGAGACTCAAGATTTCCTCACATAGGCACAAAGCTGTTACCTGCTCTGCTCATTCCAAAGCAGACTTTAAGGTCAGCGATACAAGAAAAAAAAGTGACATTTTTTTATTTGTGTAATTTGTCACTCTGAAAGCTGACACATCAGCAAATGTAAACTGCTGAAAAGAAAGCTTAAAAAGATGTAATATTCTGACTAAATGCCTAAATAGCCTCCCCACCTCCAATATGTCTCATCTTAAGAAATCACAAAATCAAACACTGTATTCCTTGTTAAAGGAAATACTTGAAAAACTACTTGGGATCATTTCCAAGTATTTTCCATGCCACTAAAGAGGATGCTATCCATTTTCTTTTAATACTATGAGTTTCTAAATACAGCTTTTCCAGTTAAAAAAGATGAGACATGGATTATCACATCTAATCAACCAAATAACAGCAAATTTTTGTCACTGTCATTTCAAGAAGCCTACAACTTATTTCTGCTACGAGCAAATGAAATCATGACAAAATGGCTCTCCCCTGTGTAGGGCTCTGAACACCTACATAGTAAAATTTAAGTCAGATTATACTTAAAAGTATGATCCACTGCAAAGAAAATCAAAAGCCCCCAACACATCAGTGATCTACAAACTTCACACTGGACACTCAGCTAGATTTCCCTTTAAGGTTACTGAAGCTTTAAAATTCCAAACTTAAAACAGCTATTCAATAATCACGGACATTCCAATCCATGATATAATTATTACTTAGATGGGCACAGACTTAACTGTTTCCTGACATTTTAAATAAATTACTCTTTGCCAACAGCACCTAGTTACTGATACTAAACACACGGTAACTACCCGGCCTTTCTCTCTGTTATCTCATTCTCCATAAGAATTTAAAATTAATTAGTAGTCTAAGAGCAAAACATCGTGAGAAGGCGGGGACAGATTTTAGTCCTAACAATGCTGCTTTGTTTTGAAGTTATAAATGTGAAGTTGGACTGTCAAAGATGAGTTACATTTTGGGCTCAGGCTAATAATATTCTTTAATACTCACCAAAGGAGAAAAAAAAAGAAACTAGGACACCATGTACTATAAAATTCAAGAACTGGAGATTATCTCAGTGGCTCGGTAAATTGCTTCCAGGCTCCAGCGCTCCCCCTGCGCAACTTTGCTGCTGTCTAACTCGCGATCCCAGAGCAGCACAAAAGCAGAGCTGGGCTTTGAGCTGAGCCTCTCTGTGCAACTTCCTTCGCAACTCTCAGCTCGCAGGAGCCGCTCCTCCAGCAAAACCCGCCGGTGTTCACAGCTCCAGGCTCCGGTCGTGCGCCCACCCCACCGGGAGCAAGGGCCGGCGGCGCTCCGCGGGCCGTATCTTTGTTCAGCCCGGCTCCCGGGTCAGCGGGCAGGGCTGCTGCTCCTCCCGGTGCGGCTTCTCAAAAGCTTTCGGCACGGAGCGGGCCGGCGGATCGCCCCGGCCGCCCCGCTTTGTTTGCCCTCCTGCCCGAGGGGGGCCGGCGGGCACGGGAGCCGGACCCGCGTCTCGCCGCGGCCACCGAGCGCCAGCGCCGGGCCGGGCTCCCGCTCGGCGCCACGACGCGGGCGGCAAGGAGGGGTGGGGAGGGGAGGGAAGGGGGGAAAACCGGCCGGAGCGGGCAGCAAACTGCGCCCCAGCCCGACCGAGCGGCGGGAGCGCCCCGGCCCGGCGGGCTCCGCGCAGGGGCGAAGGCCCCGGCCGAAGCGGGACCGCACCGCCTCCAGCCTGCCCTCTCTTCCCGGCCCGCCAGCGCCCGGCCCGCGGCCCCGAGCACTTCCCCTCGCCGCGCGGAAATTCCCGAGGGAGGCGGCGGGCAGCAATCGCGGGTGCTCACCTGGCGCCGCGGCGTTCCCCGGCGCGGTCTCTGCCCCGCAGGGAGCGGCGAGTCCGCCTGCCCGCGCCCCCTCCGCCGCCTCGGGGCTGCCGGGGCTCGCGGGGCCCCGCGCGCTCAGCGCCCGCCGCGCTGCCACATGTCCGCGCGTGGCCGGGGAGCACGGCGGCAGCGCCGGCGGGGCCCGGGCGGGGGCGCTGCTCCGCTCCGGCAGAGGCGGCGCCCCGGCGGCACAGAGAGACGCCTACAGGCCGCCCCGCGCCGCCCCCAGGGAGCATTATGGGATAGGTCCTCCAGCACCGCCTGGCGGGGAAGGTGGGGAGACGGCACGTGACCGGCGGCCCCGCCCCGGCCGGGCGCCAATGAGGCGGGGGGCGGGGCCGAGGCGGGGCGGGGCCGCGCGCCGCGGGCGGGGGCGCCCTCTGGTGGCGGCACGGCGGGCGGGCGCGGCCGAGACATGGCTGCGCGGCCGGTGACGTCATGTTTCTGCGACGCGGGGCGCCCCCGAGTGCCAAGCCTTTTTAAATTTAATTTATTTAGTCAGTAGGAGTAATTGCAGCGCTGTAACTCAGTCAGGCACACTGGACGGAGTCCCGTGACCACAAGAGGGTGTGGCGGGCGGCTTCGGTCCGGCCCTGCAGGGAGTGGAAGCGGGGCCCCACGGCGCCGCGCAGTCAGCGGCGGTTCGTGCTTGCCGCGGCTTGCGGGCGCACGGACATGGTGACGTCTCATCATCGGACATTTCCGTAGGCACTTATGTTAAAAGAGTTTGCCGTGGTGCCGTACGTCCTCATTATGGCAGCCAGGAAAGCAGCTCAGCGCAGCTGCCGCTTCTGTGCGCTGCCCCGTTCCGACTGCATCACAGCGCCGCCAGGCCCAGAGCAGCGGAGCTCGGGCTCAGAGGCGGCGGAGGGTGGGAAGCGCCGCGGAGACCCCGCATCTGAACCCCCAGGGCAGCGCACCTGCTATAGCCACAAACGGCAGGAAAAATGCACGTATTTTCTGATTGGCTTTTCGCAAATATTCAAATTAATATTATATGTGTTGTGCTTTGTTAGAAAGTAATGCTGTATTAATTCTTTTAAGTAGTGTGTTCAATATAGCTTTAGGTTATAAAACATGTTAAAATAGAAACTATGCTATGTAGGATACTTTTTTTAAAGAAGGAACTCGCAGCGAGATAGCAGCCACAGGACACCTAAATCTTTCAGAGAACAAGAATTTATTGCCCTGTTATCAGAAGAAACGAACTTCTTCCCGCCTCAAAGGCGCTGTTAGGATTCAGAGGAAGAAGTTGACGATGACCAGACAGAATCCTGTATTTGTATGGAATTTATGCATCATGTATGAAGTGTATGAATATGCAACAGGCTGTTGTTTTTAAGGGTGAATCCTTTGTTAACGGGTGTCCTTTTTCGGACTCGTGCTGCCCAGAAAAAGGTACCAGACGTCTGTAACTCTTTGTCTCTATTGTCTCATATTGTCCTAATTTAAATTGTCCAAATTATTATTACTCTAATTGTATTACTATTTTTATAACCATTTTATTACTATTAAACTTTTAAAATTTTAAAAACAAGTAATTGGCGTTTTTCACACCCCAAATACGCAGGCTTAGTTTGGTGTCTCCTTGTGTTCACAATGAAGTCACGGCCTGAATCAGGTAAAATGTGTCAGTTTATCAAGAGTTATGATACCTTATTAGTTGGCATGATTGCTGAGAGAGTATTAATTTGGGATCATATCAGAAGAACTTGAATTAAGAGCAGGCTGTGGGACAGAATGTAAGAAGAGTGATAGGAAGGTTGGAAAAGACCGTGTTCATTAGAAGGCTGCAGGGAAATGTAATAAGAAGTAAGACTACTCCCATAGTTGGAAAATACTGGAGAACATAGATTTAGGAATGGAGATTAAATGTTTAAGATAAGTCTGACTTTAAAGTGATTAAGGTTAATAAATTCCTCAAATTCTTCAATGGGATTATATAAATAAAGGAATAAGGTGTTAGGAAAATTGTCACTAAAGAAAGCTTTGTTACAAACACAAGTGCTGTGTTTTAACTACACAAGGAGGGCATACTATACACAGCTACTGTATGTTACTGTTTATTACTGTTGAATCTTTTCATTAAAATGTTTACTAAGTCACTTGGGGCTCACAGGTGCAGAGAGGGGCTGGAATTCACCGTTTCTGCCACAAGTCATGAAGATGTTGCTGTCACCCACTTGTGCTGCACAGATCATGTTTCACAGAAGAGCCAGGCAAGCTGAAGAGAAATATCTGTGAGAGGGAGGAATGCAAAGAGAAGCACTCATCGCCTGTGATGTGCTGTCTGTACTTTCGTTTGATCTCTGATTGTCTGTCTCACATCCATCCCAGCACTGGCCTTTTTGGCTACTCACACAACTGGCCCTCTCTCACTCACCTTTTGAGATGGATGTGTTCTGTACACTGTTTATGATGAGGGGGGGAAAGTGTGACAGACATCTGTGACTTTCCTCTTGCCAGTTCTGGCAAATATGTCTTTAGTTTTCCTATGTGTACATGAAGTTCCAGCCTGCAGATGTTTCCAGTCCAGTCAGGGCTGAAGGACAGTCCTGTCCAGTTGGATGTCTGTTCCCAGAAGCAGTCTGGCAAGGATGAGCAGCTGGTCAGATCTGCCAAAGGTGAGCCTGAGATGTCTCTCCTTCTGTGGGCTCTGTGCCTGCTGAAAGGGGAGGTGGAGTTTAGGTTTTGTACAGCAGTATAGAAAAAGAGGGTCATGAACTCTGAATTTCTGCTAATCTCAGCAAACCCCGTGGTACAGGCACTTTCCTAAATTTATTGGTCGTTCATGCAACTATTAGTATTTTTCTCAAAAATCAGACAGGAGGATGATTTGACCTGAAGGGATAGTTGAAATGTCATTAGGGATTGAGATGAAGATGGCAGGAAAATAAGTATTAGTTGGGGCAAAGTTGATAGGAATGGATGCAGAAATTGTTAACATTTCTGAATTAGTGGATGAGTTGTCAGCACCAGCCAGTTTTGCTGAAAGGAAGAATCCTAAATTCAAAATCTAAGTATCTGGGATCCAATCTTGTGATTTTTTGACATTTGATAAAATTTTGGTTTCATGTTTTACAGTGGTAAAAACATTATAGTCTGTTTTAATGTGTTCTGAAGGCTTCAGCTTCTCCAAGTGACTGATGGCAGAGGTTATCCTTAGTTGAGGTAGACACCACACCAATAAATCCTTTGCAGGTGAAGGATGGGACTAGTAGAGGCAGTTACTGTTGCCTATTGTCTTTTCTAGGTAGGTATGAGTAGGGCTGTTTCTTCATTTCCAGCTAGATATGAATTTTCTGCTGAAAGACCATGAGTAAACCTCAGGCTGTAGGAGACACACAATTTTTAGTGGTACTTTGGAGGCCCTTTGTGCGTGCCCTGTGTTTTGTTTGGGAGATTTACTCTGCCCACTTTTTCAGAGTTTTCCAGTATCCATGGGACCTAGAAACTTCCCTGGAGCAGACCCTCTCACCAACTTACATTTCTTTCCAGATGCCAGCATGGTGTGGAAGCACAAGCAAAGCCATATTCATGGCACAGCTCTGAGTATGATCAGAAGCCAGATGTTCCAGAGAAAAACTGGAAAACATACAGGGAGAACAGTGTGAATTTGGGTATGGTCATCTGGAGAGGGGAGCAACAGGGAGTGTGATACTAGAAATAAGACAAGTATTGGGGTGAGGGAGAGGGGGAGATGATGGCAGAACTGACAAAGAGATTTTGACCACAATATGGTAGAGCAAAGGAAGGGAGGTGATGCTTGATGAAAGTAGGCATGAGTCAAGCATGGGACACCTGGAGGACAAAATGGTAGTTATCCATGACAGCAGAAACTAGAATTGTCACGGAGTACAGAGGGGAGCTTGAATTAAGTAAGAGCAGGCTGTGGGACAGAATGTAAGAAGAGTGACAACTGCTTATTTGTGGTGTGAATTTAAATTCTTAACTTGGAAGTATTCTGTGCCATCTTACACCATTTGCCATTAACACAACATTGCAGTGAAGGCGCAGGTAAGTGACATTATTATTATTATTATTATTATTATTATTATTATTACTTTTATTATTATTACTACTTTTTTTATTACTTTTTTCAATGTAATGAACCTGAAATGGTATTTCTGCGGTTTTGAAGCTGCCAGTACTACATTCTATCTCTGGAAGAGAGGAGTGAAAAAACTTTAGCATAGTGGATTGTTTTTCCTGCTGTAACACTGTTGGGACTCATCAGTTAAACCACTGAAATATGCTATACCCAGGGAACAGAAGAACTATTTATGATATAATACTTCTGCTGTCCAATTTCAGATGCTCATTTAATTAATAAAATATTCATCTATTGGGCTCTTGGATTTTGAGCTTTAAAGAATGTAGATAGATGCAAATGGCATAAAAAGGTGGACTTTGAGAGTTTATTCAGAGCTCATTCACTCTCTCTGCCCCATGCAGGGTTAGTCATGTATATGATGCTCCTTCACTCAGTCTATACTTCAAGATCTCAGGTGGTGGGCTCTCCTTCCAAAATCTCCTTCCTCAAGCAGGCCATTTCTTTAGTTTAAATTTTATACTTTTGAAAAGCTGTACTGATTCCTATCTATGATCCTTCCTACTGCATCAGAAGCCCATTCATTTATCCCTGTCCACCATAAGTGCTTGTATCAGATTGTCCCCTTTCTATTTGAAACAGATTTTTACTTGCTTTTACCATTTTTAATTAATTTTCAATCTCTTTTAGGTTAAACAACATTGAAAGGTCAACTAAAAGCAAATATATGGTAAGTTCTTTGTCTGCCCTATACAAGGGGCTTGATATTTTCCTATAAAAGGAAACCAGAGTGATTTGGCAGCAGTTGTTCTTGAAAAATAAGTGTTGGATGTTGTCTTCTTCTTAACTTTGAAATAATTAAAAATTGTTAGCTTGATAATTTTTTCAGAGAGGTTTTTTTGGGACTCTGTCTGTCCCTCTTTCCAACAATAAATTTTTGTTTCTGTTTTTAATTTGTCTTGTGTTTATGTATCATGCAAAAAAAGCCCCAGTTAACTGAGAATAAACTAAGTGGATTAGTTCATTGTTCCAATAATGTGGTGTTCTGAAGTTTCTGTCTTCAGTTACTGGCATTCTCATTTCTTTTTAGGGAATTCTTAATTTTGAAATTCTGCTATATATTTATATATATATATTTCCAAGTAAGTAGATTGTATGTTTTCTTGTCAAGATGACTCAAATACTTGGCTGCACAGAGAACATTATTTCAGTGATAGAGCTTTTAGTTTTTTCTTGTTTTAAAAACTTTGATTCAGAGACTAGTTTTTTATTTACATGCAGTATGTGTTTGCTTGCAAGTGTCATTGTTTAGAAATACAGTGTGATAGTCTATAAATAAAAGTAAGTAGGATGAGTTAACACAGACTGGTGAGGAATTTCAGACTTCTTTTTAGCCAAAGGTAATATAAAACTATGGTCTAACACCTAAAAAAATCTTTTTTGAAAGTGTAGTCAGTCACAGTATACACAACTGTTCTGTTTCCTTTTTTCTTCTGTTTGTTTTAATAAATCACAGAATATTCTGAGATGGAAGAGATCCACAAGTTGTCATCAAAGTCCAACTCCTGGCCCTACACAGGACAAACCCAAGAGTCACAAGTGCTAGCCACCATGTTGGAAAAAAAGTTATCAAGCCTCTCCTTTGATATGTTGGTTGGTTGGTTGGTTGGTTGGTTGGTTTTTGGTGAGTTTTCTTTGTCTTCTAATTCATTCAAAGGTACTGCTCAGTTGCTACTGGTTCTACTGTATACATTAGAACTGGCCACGTTTGCCATTTAGTAAAGTATAGACAATTGTCCCTGTTGGCCTAATTTTTGAGAAAACTGAGCTTAAAAAGATAGACGGGATCAGATCAGATAAAATTTGACAGCACACATTTCAGATTCACAGTATTCTGTGTTTAGTACAACATGTCAGTTCCCAGGAGTTTCCTGTTCAAATAAAGTATGTTCTAGCTCTGAAGCTGCAGATCTTGGACAAAGCCTTGGGATATCAGGCTTTCTCAGTTCTTTGTGGGTAGCAGCAACCCTTTTGTAAAGGATCAGAGGAATTTTACAATGGTCTTGACTGGAATTTTTCTCTTGTTATGCCAGGTTGTTGGTCACACTTTGACTGGGCACCATGGAGATAGACTGTAATTCTCTGGAATACATCCCACTGTAGAAATGAAAGATGCTATTAACAGCAATATTGAATATCTGGAAGAAAAAAAGGCTTCCTGTGTTTAGAGTTCTGAGGAAACAGGATGTGAGATAATTAGCCATAATTTATAATATATAGCCATATTGTTTCCTCAGCAAGAAATGGGATGGGCGTTATCCTGTCACCATTCTTTATTCCAAGAGTTCCCAAGAGCATTTTGCATCCTAGTACTGTGCTGTGACCAACCACATTTATTCACAGTTTAAAGACAAAAAATCCTCAGAGCTTTTAACACTATGTGTACATACCTAACAGTTTCTAATAAAAATCCAGCAGTGCACTCCTTAGCAAAAACAGCCACCATTCTTTCCTTGTTCCAAATTATTTGCTCTAGTTTGTGGGATGGTGACCTGTCTAACCAATTTAGTCCATTGAACTGAAGCTGAACCATATTACATAATGTTTCTCTGCACCACCCTGAACTGGTTTCTCTCAAACTTAGTGTAACAACAGGTTGACATAAATATTGTTTTAAGTGTTGTCTGCAAGTACCACCCTTCATCTTAGAAGAACTGTAGGAGATAGCTAAATAAAAGCAAAGTTAAACCCAAATTAAAGGCAGCCATGAGCTTGAACTCATAGGATGAAAAGGTTTTGCTCTGGGACTGTGTATGACAGAGCAAGAGGAGGATGAGGGAATGAAGTTAACTGGTGTCATGCTTTAACCTCAGCCAGCAGCCAAGCCCCAGGCAGCTGCACTCCACAGACTGAGGAACTGCTTTTATTGTGTCCCAACACTCACAGACATCAACAAACTTAGAAAACAGTGTTTCTTCCCTATTTTTGTTTGTTTGTTTGTTTACCTAAAGGTATGAAAACATCTTATCTGTCAAAGAATTTATGCAATCTGGACTATGCTGGATAACATTATAATACTGCAATCTAATAGCCTTGTTTCATGTGAATCAATATTTTTGTATTCACATGAATATCTTAAAGATTTTTATTTTTTAAACAGATACAAAATGTTCATTAGTTGATTTTTTTGCATGACAGATATGGACAGACTGATTTTTCTGAAATTCCTTATTTAACCTTTAGAGATTAAGAACATTCTTTGGCCTTTGCTGGTTTTACTGTAGAAGAGCTCCTTATTTTAATTTGAAATGCTGAATCTTTAGCACAGATTTATATTCTCCAGAGTATTGATTAACTACTACAGTTCAAAGGTGCTTTGAAATCTTCATCTTCCTTAATTGTCCAGCATGTTGAATCCTGCAGTGTCCTTTGCTCTTCCTTGAGATTTTGCATACACCAGACTTCTCAAAGTTTCTTGCACTTGCCACTCCTCCTGTTGAGGAAATCTGTATCCATAACTTTGTGTTTTAGCAGTGGCAGTAGCAGGATGAACAGAAGTCTCTGAAATCCAACATACATGCCGTCAGGTTGTGGTGCAAGAGAAGTTAACAAACATGATGCAGAACCATGTCTCCAGAAAATGTCTGTGTTTTCATGAGAGACGTTACCTTCCCCTCCTACCTATTCTGTCCCTCTCTCAAAGGTTTCCATTTAGAAATAAAACAACCACACATGATACAAATAAATCACAAACTGACAGTTCTTTACAATAATCTGCCATGCAGTTTGAAACATTGTTTCTACCTCTGTTGCAAGGTGGTAACCATGAGCAAAATGGAAAAGCAGATTACCAGAGATGGAAATATCCTCTTTGATTGCTCAAATGAGTCAATCAAGCTTGCCACAAAGTACACAGAGAGCGCAGAACACAATCCATGTTCAGTTTAGGTAATGTTTTGGTGAGGCGGTGATGAGAAAAAATTATTTTACATAATTGTTTTGATTTTGAGATAGTTAATTTCATCTTTTCAGCAAGTCTGAGTCAGCCAAATTGATTCTCTGTGATGATTGAGTGGCTCTTTTTCACAGAAGGCAGAAAACAGAAATGTAATTCGGTGTCTCTCAGGTGGAAAAAAATTGCTCTGAAGCAGCAGCTCTCAGGGGCTGGGAAGCTTCTTGGAGGACTTTCAGGCAGTTTTTTTCTGCTAACTATTTTTAGAGTTGTGTGTGTTTCTTTAAATGCGTTCAGAAAATGTCACATCCTAAGCATAACAGGCAATAATCCAAGTGACTAAAATAAGAACAAAACTTCACCATAACTTTTAAAAAAATCATTTCAGGCTTTGGATTATTTGCTGTATAGCTCATACGAATTACATCAGTTGCCAACACCACCACCATCAGCTTTTCCAAACAATCATTTAGTTTTGCATTATTATCAAATACTTTATCTTGACAGCATAATTAGTGATTTACTGCACTGGGCTATGTTATTCCAGTCCCTAGACAGTAATCCCCAGCTGATCAGCCAGTGAAGTCAGCTGAGAGGTTGCTAGCTAATGGTCCAATGCAAACCAAAGTGCTGTTCACTATCTAATAAACACATTTGTTCATAGCACACTTGCTAATAAGGGCACCACTAAAAAGAACATCCCTTAATCATGTATAATACCAGTGGAGTATTTTTAGTGCATACTAAACAATCTTTTTACCCAAAAGAAGAACTAAGAATCCACTCTACTAAAAGTATACCCCACTTAATACACTCTGAGAACAGTATGTTCAAAATCATGTTGAAATTAATTATTTCAGACATTTACCCCAAAATAACACTTTAACAAGCCTCTGCTTGTCTGCAGCTGCTCAGGATGACATTATGGAAGAAGGCAGTTAGGTGGAGGAGTTGTTAATGTTATGGTGCTCATATTCATGCAGCCACCATCAAGGCTGGACTAGAGGAGATGTATGTTTTATACAGTGAGAAGAGTTCTGTTGAATTCCTGAGGTTACCTACAGATTATAAAATTTAGGAGAAATATAATTATTTATTGGGTTTATCATCCCATGCTCTGGGGTTTTTCTAAGCTGTTTTATTTTGTACTGTAGTTACATAAAAAAATATTCTTGTCACTTAAGCCACAATTTTTTGTAGTGAAGCTTTTTCCACCTGAAGCTTGCTTGTCCTTTGTATTTAAAATGCTGAAAGAAGAATTTAGCCAAAACTCAAAGCATTTTCACACCTTTAAATACTAACTGAAAATATGAAAGTAACCTTCCCGATAATAATTCTTGACCACCTTCTGATACTCCCTCTGCTGCACTCTTTGGCACTGCATGCTGTGGGTCCCTGTCCCTGCTGCTCTCAGCTCTGCATGGTAGAACAGCAAGGTTGCCATGGTCTGAACCCATCACCCCAGGAAGGCTCATGGGACACAGAAGTGGAAGAGAAAATTTGTAGTGATGTATGAAAGGAAAAGCCATAATATCTTCAATAGACCCAGAGGATGAAAAGAGGGACTGGGTTGTAACTATCATATAATATCAGAAATCAGAGGGAATTTGAGCCATCAAACCCAATTAGCTGTTGAAGGAAAGAACGTCTTAATTATGTTCTTCCCCCCCACCTTGCTGTTACCATAGACCTGTTTAGGTGGAGTGACTGCAGGTAAATGCTCTCGTTGCCCACAACTCCTTAGTGAGATGTTGTCCTTCGTTGTCTGTGTCTTCTTTTTACATTGGATATATCCTTGTGATACGCCTACACAGAATGGTTATGTATCCATTTGTTTATCAGACAGAATTTACAGAATGGCAGAGTTCTTGTGGTTGCAAGGGACCTCTAGAGACCATCTGGTCCAACCTCACCTTGCTCAGGAAGGGTCACTTAAAGCTGGTTGCCCAGGACCAGATGGCTTTTGAATACTCCAGAGATGGAGATCAGAGCCTCCAGGGGCAATCTGTGTCCTGATTCAGAGGGTACCAGCTGTGTTTCAGGCTGTGTCTGTTGTAATGGATTCTGTGTCTGGGCACCATTGAAAAGAGCCTGACTCCATCCTCTTTACACCTTCCCTGCAGGTGTTTGTACACACTGATGAGATCCCCTTGAGCTTCCTCTTCTCCAGGCTGGACAGTCCTAGGTCCCTTGGCCTTGCCTCCTATGTGAGGTGCTCCAGTCCCTTCATCATCTGTGTGGTCCTTTGCTAGACTCTCTCAAATAGCTCAATATCACTCTTGAAGTGGGGAGCCCAGAACTGGACACAGCACACCAAGTGAAGCCTCTCCCCAGTGAAGGATCACATCCCTCAGCCTGCTGGCAATACTTTGCCTAACACTTGCCTTCTTTGCAGCTGGGCTGCTTTGCTGGCTCATAGCTCATGTTCAGCTGGGTGTCCATCAGGATCCTCATGGCCTTTTCTACTAAGCTGCTTTTCAGAAAAAAAAAAAAAAAAAAAAAAAAAAAAAAAGCAAGCTATCAAATAGAATAGTTCTATAAACTTCCAAATTTCCAAAAGAGCTAAGTTGGTCCTATTAAGGCCATCTTCCCAGGTTAGTGGAGAGGAAACTTTATAAAGCGTGAATAAAATAGCCACATTTGTGCTGAGGGAGCACATGGTGTATTTTGTAGCTATTTATAACACTGAACTGTTAAGAGGAGTCAGTAATGACCTGCTCAATTCAGCATTAAAGTTGTGGCTGAGTCTATACCTGATCTGTGGCAAACTTTGTGTTTTCAAGTATTGAGGTACACTGCCACTGACATTCTAAGTACATAGTATAAGAGTATGTATTTTTGCCTGCCAACTTCTTTCCAGCTGCTTTAAAGTCTATAATACAAGTGGCAAAGAAACTTCAAATGAAATTTTGTACCTTTTTAACAAAATTGAGATGCAGCACTGAGATTGCCCCTCTCCAGCAACCAACCCCTTCAGAATGTTAGATGTGTTGAACAGTCTCTAGCCCTGCAAACTCAGTGTTCCCTTGATGCCATTTTCCCTATCACTGCATCAAAATATTAGTTCATGTGGGAGGTTGGTGTTGGGTGGCCTGGAGAGCACTGCTGGCCTTGCATGTGGCAACAAGAAAACTCCTGTCAGCCAGTTTGTGCATACTCCCTCTCCCTTTCTCCCCCCCAGCTCCTGGGAACGCTTCCTGTGGCAGTAGTTTGTGCAGATTTCTGTGCTAGTTTTTGTAAAGCAGATTTCTAATTTTTAGAGGGAAAATGTGAATTTTCATTTGATTCTGAACTAATAATTCTTGAAAATTTTAAATGGAAATAAAAACTGCATTTGCTGGCTACAATTGTCCATATTTTCTCAAGCTATAGTTACCTAGATAATTGTGGGAAACGATGCAAAGTCCTTTTTGAATAGGACCTCTTCCCCAACTGAGCATCAGGATGAGCAGTTGGAAAACCCCATCGGAGAACCTTCCTGGGGCATCTCCTGAAAAGCTATCGTAGCAAGCAGCTCTTGTGCGCCTGCAGATGCAGAAGATGCCCGTTAACGCAAGCAGCCGCATGGTGGAGCTAGGTTTGAGGAGAAGGAGGTCAAAGCATCCCAGGAGATGCTCCTTCTGCCTTGGGAGGAGAGGTGCTGCCTCCCAGAGTGCTGGCAGGTTTCCTGTTTGTTGTCTTCCAGACATAAATGATCAGTAGACTTTCAAAGAGAGAACAAACACACAGAGAAAAAGCAGTTGTCAACAGGAAAGAGGTTTAGCAAGCCTTTCAGCAAAGCTAAATAGAGAGATTGAGTGCCAGTGAGCGCAGGACCCCAGCTAACTGCTGCAATGGAAAAATAAGATTAGGGGAAGAATTTAATTTTCTGAATGTTGAATATCGTGACTAATTTCCACCAAGAACCTGTATTTCATCAGGATCTAAAACACAGCCTCAGAATACGGCTGCAGTTGTTTCTGTGGACACCGCTGCTGTGACTGAGAGGTTTAACTGAGCAGTAGCATCCTGCAATTCCAGGGGAAAAAAAAAAGAAAAAAAGAAGAGGATTACTGCAGCAACTCCTTTCAGACAAGTTTTCTGTTCGCTGCAATGAAATCAGTTCAAAATTAATTGTCATGTTAAGTATCAGTTAACCACACCATTTGAAGGAGATATGGAGTTTCTCTCTTCTGATGGAGTTTCCCAGCAGCCAAGCAGAAGAAGCTGTAGGTGGCACCATGGCACTCTGCAGGAGGGCAGTCTGTGCTGGGCAGTTCTGACTCATAACTGAGCTGGTGAAAAGAAACCACAGACTCAGTGGAGACACCACTTTTATGCCACATTGCAATCTCCCTCCCTACAGTAGCCCTCCTGACCTCTACACATTACCATCCCTGGCTTTCCCCACCAGATATCCACTTACTCACCCTCTTCCTTTCACCCATCACAAACACTTCATTGCACAGCACTGATACCACTGGGTTTTGCTGGAGTTTTATTCTGCTTATCCTTTTTTAGAGAGGGCTAAAATCTGTGATTGAGCACAATGACTCACATAGGGAAAGGGACAACTAGATATTATTAGTTCCTATTAAGTGGCAATGCCAAAAATTCACAGGATCAGCTTTTATATGACCGGATATATTTAGTAATTCAGCAGGACTGTAAGTGAGGATGTGCATCATTTCCTGGGATTGTCAAGCCTTTGATGGAACTCTTGGAATGCAATGAATAATATTATTACAATACTGTACTTTCTTAAACATAGTGGGCATAATTAAAGTCCCACCCACAGAGGTCAGATCCATCTGACTCACTATTGTTAAGAATTAAGAGACGTCCATTTATTTTAACAGTGGTTTGTTTAGAATATGAAGTCAGTGGATTTCTTGCCTTTGTGGAAGGTGTCATTTTACTATGTCAGGGACAATGTGGAATTCTGGAGTAAAGCTATAAATAGAGTACAGATATTATTGGATCTGGTTGTTACTTAACAAAAGTTAAATTTCTTTGATTAAATCAATGAAATTATTATTTGCATCAGGGTATTATCTGGTGTAGTATATTTACAATGGGTCTATACCTTTAAAGGTAGGATTGCTAAACCAATAACAGTGTATGAAACAATAACACCTTAAAAATCCAGGTTTCTCAGGTATTTTGCTTAATCCTTTCATCACAGTGAACTAGTTTCAAGAAAAAATTATATTTCTCATATTTATGTCAGTTTTACCATCTAGAGCTTTTACAGATGCACAGAACTGATACACTGTATTTGTATCAAGCATTGCATTGGGACTTTTAAGGGGATCCTATGAGGAGAAAAATAGTTTAAACTATTATTATCAATAGCAGAATGAAAGCCATTAGCAAAAAGCAACCTCTATATTTTGGCTGATTAGTCTATGGATTTAATAGCAGTCTGTGTAAAATTAGTTTCATGTGTTTGCTGATATGGCCACTTAAATTCAGATCTTCAGAGGTATTTCACATTTCAGACTGAAATACCTCTGAAGATCTGAATTTAAGGGCAAGCCTGGTGCTTGTGTTTGTTATTAGGAGCCTAAATAACTTTGTGGAGTCAGAGGTCCTGCTAAAGGAAACACATTAATGCGTACCTTACTCTGTTACTGTGAACAGTCTGGTTGTCAAGCTTAGAAAGAAAAACAGTGAAAACCAAAACTTCTTTTTTGCTCTTGAAATAAGGAAAGAGGGCTAAAGTGTTCCATCCAGCAATACAGAAGATAACAGCAGGTGAGTGGCTTTCCATTTAGAAGCTCATGCTCCTGCAGATGCTTTTGCAGGGTAACCTACCCAAGGGGCAGGGGTGGGCAGGACAGTGAGCAGCTGCAGTGGGGATATGGGTGGGAGGCCCTCCTCACCCTCTCAGTGAAAGAACCACAAAGGGGAAAAAAGCAGAAATTCCAGGCAACACACCTTCTAGGTTTCTTAAGGCAAAGAACCAAAGCACCACAGAGACCTGACATCTCTGAAGATGTTCTGTAACCCTGCAAACCCAGTCTGCTCCACTGCCCACCACATGCCATCCCCATAATTTTGCCTGAGGAAGCTTAGGGCTGGCAGTTCTTGTCCCCATGGAAACCATGTTCTTGGTGGGCAAACCATCACCTTACTCCTGACCATATTTACTGATAACTGAATGAGGAGCAGATTTAATCACCTGGGGCTGCAAGTATATGTTGTATTACTTTTCTTTCATACTTGCATGAGAGGAACACATCAGCACATATTACTGCACGGGGTACTGGTGAATGTGCTGGATAACCAAGGAAGAAGATGCTGGCAGCATCTGGCAGTGTGAACAGCCGAGATGCAAAGGAGTAGAAGGGACAGTGCTTCAAAGCCACTTCTCAAATCATTGTACTGATCTCTGCAATTTTTCTCCTCAAGCTGAAGGCAAGAAGGCAGGGTTCAACACAACACTGGAACGAGTCTAGATTTCATTCATGATTGATTTTGCTGTCTTGCTTACATAACCCACCTAATCCTGCCTCCTAGCTTGGTAAATCACAGCTTGCAGTGCTCTTCTTAGCCATCAACCCAGAGGATCATGATGAAAAGCAAATCTCATTAGCTATCAGCAGTGTAAGACATAGAAAAAGGAAAGTAAAGAGAATTATAATGTTACCACCTCCTTGGAACCGGTTTTATCTTCATTTTTATCAGATATTACTTCTCAGATACACAAATTCACTGTGCCGGGGGGTGATAAATGAGGTAGGAATTGGAGTACAGAATTTTCCATTTTAGAGGAGCCCAGATTTCAGGCTGAAGGTGTGGGATTAGTGGGTCAGGGGCCATGCTTATTCCAGTGTCCCCAGTTAAGCCCTCAAGTAAGTAGGCAGGATTTACAAACAGATATTGAACTTTCCAGAATAGCACTCTCACTCACATATCTTGGCCAATAATATCAATGTGAGGCACTTAAAAATATGCTTTTATTTATTGATCTAAGCAGAAGATGAACTCTTCTGACAATTTATTCCCAGTGGGAAGAAAAAATATCTGAGACATCTGACCTTATACACCCTCCCTTGGTACTGGGGAGGTGCAGTCTTTCATTGTCTTTCATTCTTTTGTGCAAAAGCAAGGACAGTGCTGAAAATATATGGGGCAGGAGAGAAGGAGAAGGTAAGGCTGCCTCTAATTCAGTCACTTCAGTCACCAAGCTATACGAGTAACTTTGGTCTTGTTTCCTCAGACAGTTGGGCTTTTTCTTAGAGTAATTTGCTGAGATTGAAGAAAGATATGGCCAAACAGGCCCACAGGGAGGAAGGGGAACGGTGAGCAGAAGGAGCACTAGGGTGGCAGTCATTCACAGCAGCCTTTAATCCTCAGTATCTGAGGAAGTGATGCTAGCTAAATATTGGCTGCCCTCCAACAATCTGCAGCTGGAAAACTACCCAGCTGGGGAAGGGCTGAGCTGGGTGTGCAATGCAGCCCCTGCAGGCCTCAAAGATGAAGTAAAGTAGGGTCTCCTAGGGACACAGCACCATCTTTCCCAGGCCT